AAATTGTTTTGTTTTTCATTTAAACCACAAACCGCTGAAATTCAATATTTAAAACTAATTTTATTGATTATTTTGTTTTTGTCTGCTATTAATTTGTAAATTAAAATAATTCACCGCTAATGACAGAGATTTTCTATTAAAGCATTTAGTAATTAAGGAAAATATTAGCAAATCATACTATATTTCCATATAATAAATGACATTTAATATATTTGTGCTGTTGTTTAGCTCTCTCTCTCTCTCTCTCTCTCTCTCCTAATTTGATTAATGATATGATTTATTCATTCAGTCGATGTAATTAATAGGTATTGGATTTCGTTATGATTATACAGTAAACAGTGAATGGGAAAGGGCTGAAGGACTGGTTGGTTAGGTTTCGGTTTGGTTTGATTCTGGGAGTCATTGCATTCCTGCTGTGATTATTGCCATTCACTCCATAAAGATCAATGTCTAAGACATATATTGTGTGCTGTAGTGAAGGCCTCTGCCATATCTTGAGACAACTACCAGAGCTGCTGACCACTGCCTGCTCATTAAGCCTCTCATTTGTCACTGTCATCCCTACCCCTCAGGAAGTTTTAACTTCTTTTGATCCACAATTGCTTCAGTGATGATCACTTTCACGTGAATTCATTAGTCGTATCTAATTTGAAAGTCTTGTGCTCTCTCTAGAAATCCCTTAAGTGGACCAAAACTAGCCCTCTCTCTCTCTCTCTCACTCACTCACTGACTCTCTCACTCTCTCCCCCCATATCCAAGTGTTTAAGTTTAAGTTTGCCTCAAATGGAGAGCACATAATAAATTGCATTCCATTCGTCCAAACACTCTCTGATCTCTGGATTTCCGTACGAATTCACTGATTCATAGTTTTTGGTGTCGAGCTTAACTTAAAAATCATATCCAAAGTGTATATATCAGTCCACTTCCAGTCCTCTTCATACACTTCAATGGACACAATCCCATTGTTTTGGACACTATTTCTCGTTATTTTCTGCTGTATTTATGTGTGAAATATCGTAATAAATGTTCGAGACCATTCTATGGCATGACTTTTATATTTATAAGTACTGTATAAACCAATAATATATTTCTAAATAGCAATAACTTTTATTATACAACATTAACACAGTTTGATTTATACCGAAACTAATGTGTATTTCAATTTTGTATGTTTCAGATCAATATCTCAAGGAATATGAAATCGTCGATGTTTTGGATAATTATCGTATATTTTTATTACAACTTTCATACAAACGGAGTGAACTCAGGTATGTATGCATTGAGAGGACAATTGTGTTTTGAAAAGAGTTATCGGATGTGTAGCTGTTATCACATAATGTTTTGAGTCCAATATTCGTATGATTGATGAAAATTTGAAACTTATTTTTCTTTTCAAAACTAAAAGTGTAAAAACCTATTGATATAAAAGAGAGGGAAACGCAAACGAAAAGTAGATATCTTTTTAGAAATCTTGAAATAAAAGTCGTTTTCGTTTTCATAGTTTGGTTTGCAATCTATTTTCATATTATAATAACACTATTTTCCGTCTATTATTACGGTCTCTCACAAAGTCATCAAATGATTTATTATTATTGCTTTGCGAGCATCACATCACTTGTGATGCCATTCCATCCCTACTCTCCGCACAGATATGTATATAAAACTGCATTTCTGTATATATTTTATATAAAATGGTTGCCTCCGGGCGATGGAAATCTATGCACTAATACTAATACTACAGAACTTTGCTGAAGACAACACAACACATGCCAGTGCTGTGGATGTGTTGAACGGCAACAGAAAGAGCACCACTTATTCTCCTCCATTGCTATGCATTTCATGACAACACATCCAAAACCTGATGAACCAGTCTTTCCCGTGTAATCAACTTTTTTCGGTGGCAATCGGTGTTAACACTCGACTACTAACTTATTTCTCTCTCTCTCTCTCTCTCTCTCTCCATATTTATTAAAAGCACTTATTTTTTCTAATTAAATGCCAATAGTTTTTTGATGATAAGCAATAGGAGTGAACCGAAAAGTTTTTGTCTATTCTTCCAACTCTTGTCTCTATTTTATATTTTTAGAAAAAGTGAAATAAAAAGAGTCGATAAGAGAAAGAATACAAAACCTCATTAGAGTTACAAAGTCTGGGCTCTGGAAACAATTGAATCAATTTATTGCTTCGGGTTATTAGAAAAACTCATTCACTTTCACAATATTTAGGTTTTTCTTATATTTCTGTTAAAAAATCTTTTTTGTTAGAAAATTTTGATTTTTTTCTCATTTTCACTGCTCGCACTTTCGTTGTGTTGTGTTTTATATATATTTTAGTGAATTATTGTATTATAACTTTTTTGTTGAATGCCTTTAATTATGTTTTTGAGCCAAAGTCTTGTCGGAGAGAAAAATCCCATTTTTGAGTTAATTTAAAAGACTATTCTCTGAAGAATTTTCTGCTAAATTTGCTTTCGGTATAAATTTTTAATGAAATATTTTATAAAACAAATGTTGTGCTGAAAAGTAATTATATTTAATATATATTTCTGTCATAAGATGTCTTGTATTATATAAAATACATTTAATAATAATTGCGTCTCTTTTGTCGTGCATTTGTCAGTCTTTAGACTTTGTTTTTAATCACTTTCTGATTCAGTGAATAACTGTTTACACACTTAAGTCGGACTCAAACTAAACAGAAATAAGTGCCATACAGTACCAAAATTGTGACTCCTTTTCCTTTGTCTAAATGATAGTATCAATGCTTTGAAATAATTGCAGTCATTGTGTAGTCGATTGTAATATGACTTGAAATTGAGGAGAATTTTGCGACAATTGTATGTTTTGTACACAAGTCTTGAGACGAAAAAAGAGTGAATAAAAGTAGACGTGTTTTAGGCATTGGAAGCGATCGTTGCCAGTGTTGGCAGTGGTATTGGTTGAGGCAATGAAAGCCATTATCGTCCATCTGTAACACAATGACACTATAATTGCAGATCACATCAAATTTTATCATTTTCTCTGCAATCATATAAAACCACTTTTTGTTGATTTTGGTCTTTATTTTACGACTGCCTTTCCGTTGACGACGTTTTTTGGCATATCCTGTACCTGTAATATGTATCGCCTATCAGCCTATCATATAGTATATCCATAGTTGATATTATTATAGGGGGACTAATGACCCCCCGCTCACCTCCGCCACTCACTTCTCGTTGTAATGATATCACAAAATTGAGAGTTTTTGGTCTCCGATAATCATATAGTGTTTGAGTTCTCATTGTTGTATGTTTTCGATTGGTTTGCATTTTATGCTTCACTTTCCAAATGAGGTCTCAGTTTTTACACAACTATCTGGGGTTGAGGTCACTTTCGGTGACACTTTAATAATGACTGCTTAGCGGTCTATCTCAGCGTATGAGTTGTTTACCTGTCTGTCAAATATGTCATTTAATCTCTATTTATACGAAAATATGTTTAACAACTTTCCCAGAGATATGAACTCCAAATACGGCATACAATTAGATGTGGTGTGTGTTTGCATTCTTTCGATGCAATTAATTCTCATAAAACTTATCAAAATATTGAAGTTTTGCAAATCCCAAACCAAACATTTATATTATATATAAACTATAAATTATCGCACAAATATTACTGAACTTTGTTTTTGTTTCCCAAACTATAAAACATTTATTGTATTCAAATGTTTTCCCCAGTACTTTGAGTTAAACTAACATTTTTCATGAAATTATATTTTTTGTTTTCCACATATATTTCGCTTTTATTATTAAATTTATGTTTCAAATACAGTAAACTTTTCTTTCTCTTTCCATTGAAAGGAAATGTATTTCTATTTGAGATGTGAGCCTCAAATATATTCTTTGTTGCGGTTATTGGATATGATGTTAGGATGAGTGGGATCTATAGGTGCGAACCGAATGACAGGTTTCTTCACTTTTCAATACATAATCAAAGAGAAGTGTCTGTCTATCAGTCTGTCTGACCACTAAGTATTACAATTGATATTCAGATTTTTCTTTAAATAACAAAAAAGCAATTGTTATGAAGTGTTTGAAACACACCATTCACTCCGCAATAGTATATATTATTCGCATTTGAATGTTGAGTGCCTTTCCCTTCAATTGTCGATGCGATGGATGTGTCGGACAATTAGCCATCAATTTTCGATGGCTGTGCCGCCGCTCGGCTCAAGAGATTTCACTTTTTGATATCAAATACGAATGAAATGAACAAAACACAGACTTCTTCTCAATATTTTCCTCAATTTATTTCATTCTCTTCTCTTCTTCTTCTCTCTTCTCCAGTCTTCCTCTCAATTCATATTTTGTTTGCAAATCACGAAATCTTTTATTTTGCTCTCTTCAGAGACTGTCAGTTCCTTTTCATACCCACCCCTCCGATGGGACCCCCATTTTTTCGGGCACTCATTATAAACTTATAGTTATATCAAATATATATTGAATTTTTTTTATAAAAAGCTCTTTCAGAAGTTGAAGAAAAAACTTTCAATGTTTTGTCCGCTTTTTTAATGTACACCGAATTTAAAGTAAATTTGTGGAGAAAAAAGTCCCAACTCTTGATTGACTTGACTTTAATTGGTTTACATTTAATTGACTTATCTTTCGGTTTAATTTTAATTCTCTTCACTTATTATATCAATACATTTGATCGCGAAATGAAAAGCAAAAATAAAATGACTTTTTTTGCTTAATAAAACTTCGTAAGAGGTTTTGGTTTTGAAACTCAAATGTTTGCAAAATATTTCTTTTCAACACATATTAAGTGGTGAACTCTATTCCCATATATATCTGGTTTTAGTCGTTGACAGCCACTCGTATTAATGAGTAGATTAAGTGATGGAATGTTGAATAGTATTTACAATTAGTTTTGAGTTGTTCATAATTTTTTACATTTAATTATGCGATTGAATGGTTTGACAGAATCAGACAAAACAATTATCCTCTGATCTTAGGATTACAAATGGAGGTTAGAGTCGATAAGAGGGTAGAGAACACAAGGAGTGAGTGTTTGTTATGTCTTGGGATTGATTGATAGTATTGATTGTCTGTCGAGCACTTAGTCTCTAAATTGAGCGTTTGGTTCATTGTATGTACGGCACAGACATCACACAAAAAGTGGATGTACTAAACGGCTGGATGTAACCGTACTAACAGTCCTAACCATTAGATTCAATTCGATTTGTTGGAGAATTAATGTTTTCTTTTATTAGTTACTATTGTTATGGTTGTTAACAATCAATACTCAGATTTATATAAAGCAAACCTTATGGTGCGCACAGGGTGGACAGGCTTCCCTCGGCCCTCCATTGCCTTGTAATCTGTCATAATAGTAATCATTGATTATCATTAGTTCCATATTAACTAAACTGATGGCCAATACTTGTATCTCTCTCTTCATAAATGGAAATGAAATTGACTTTTATTTCACTTACAGCTCACTAATCGGTGTTTTGAAGACTTAATTGTTTTTCTTTCATTTCGATTGTCTTCTCATCACTATTTCAGACAATCAAAGACTTTATCTAAAAATGTTATCAAATGCCAAACAATTGATTGCAAATAGAAATTACAAATGGATTGAGAGTTGAAAAGCGAGTGAAACAATAGTGTGATAATAGCTGTGAATTGAAATGCGAGGCACATCTCTGAATGACTATATCATAAACTAATGTATAATTTCTATGTCTGTCCGACAGCTGCAGTCAATGTCCGGCCGCCCAGATATCGGACGCTTTACGCGTGTGAGGGCTCATCCCTGGAGATCGTGTGCGAAGAGGGAACTCATATCAACCTAATCCGAGCCAATTTCGGCAGGTTCTCCATCTCCGTGTGCAATGACAACGGAAACGTCGACTGGAGTGTCGACTGTATGTCTCACCGATCGTTTCGAGTGATGCAGGAAAGGTATGACAATCATCTCATCCCTCATTAGACATCCCTCTCCTTCGTTAACGACTTTTGCAAAGCAAATGATCGGTTTTATCGACAGTTTAGTTATCAGTCCTTCTAAATGAATGCATCGAATAATTGAAAAATATTTTTGATTAATAGCTTTTCAGTTGCTTTGAATGCCTTAGAAAACGCTAACATTTAGTGTTATTTGCTTTTGCAAAATAGTTTAGATTCTAAAAGATTATTATAATTTTAATTTCGTATTCCTATACTTAACATGAGATTTGCATAAATTTTGTGTGACTTAAACATTGTCTCAATTTGTGTGTCGATAATAGCTGTGGTATGAAGAGGTCGTGCAAACTGCCGGCGTCTGCCAACGTGTTCGGTGACCCCTGTTTGGGGACTTTGAAGTATTTGGAGGCACACTATCAGTGTATGCCTGGTATGTATGACCACACTATCAGCGCCAGAGATGCCTAAACTTGAACTTCAATTTATTTGATTGAATATCGCATCGAAAGGCATTAGTTATTATGATTGCAATTAATTGTCATTTTTTGTTGTTTTCACTCCAATGCCCATCAGATTACCCGCAACTGCCGTACTCCACACCCCGTCCTAACTATTCATTTAAGAATCCATTAATACCTTCGTATGAGTCCAACGATCGTAACCACAACGCCGAGAGCACCGGGTCGTCGCCTAATCCCAGAATTATATTTCCGGAATCGTATAATCCGTCGCAAATCATGCCATTCCCTGCCATTGAAATGGATTCAAAGGAATCATTCGTTAGCGAAACGGCGTCTAAGAAGACAATAGAGACGAGCGATAACTCGCAGCCATTTGATGGCTATCCCCGGCTTAATGAGAACGACATCCCACCGCCCGTTAATCCACCGGTGATTTCGGATAACGAAACGCCAGTTATTAACTCAGAAAACGACAAAACAGTGATAACTAGTGACCAGAATAAAGATGACAACAACGCCCGTCAGTACTACTCGTCCACACCAGAGACCAAATGGATTAGCGGTGATTCCGATAGGGATTCAATCAATACTAATAAACACAACAATAATAATGAGAACATTGAAAGTAATGGCAATTCCGATAATAACGACAACATTATAATGCATGAGAACAACGAAAGGGCGGTCGACCTAACCCTCGATCACTGTCAGCCCAGCTTTTCAAGAGGTCTTTCCTGGAACTGGACTCTTGTGGGACACACAGCCAACCAGTCTTGTCCGGGAGGGGCCAAAGGACTGGTCCGCTGGTCGTGTGTCTACTCTAATGGAAAGCCACATTGGACTCCATTAATGGCCGATATGTCCGACTGTTCATCACTTTGGATCTCACATCTCGAGACTCGTGTCAACTCTAACGCAGAATCTGTGGTCTCATTAGCCGATGAATTGGCCAAAAGTTGCAAAGAGAAGACACTCTTTAGTGGAGACCTGTTTAGAGCCACAGATATTATCAACCAATTGGTGATGAGAACAGAGGCCGCCATATATGAGACATACGATGAAAACCAAAGACATCATGTCGTCAGAGAAATGCTTAATGTATTAATCATTTGCTTAATTATCATTCAGTCATTCGTAGAGCTAGTTATTAATTATTTTGTTTTTTGTGTTCAATAGTCTGTTCAGGACATCGTAAGCAGTCTATTAGATGATAACCAAATGGAGTCGTGGAATGAACTGTCAACTAATGACCAAAAAACTGCCATCAATTCAATGTTGAACTCATTGGAGAGAATGGCATTACTGATGGCCGACACTAAACAGCAAACCAGTGATTATCTGAGAGCTCATCAAAATATTTGTGAGTTTTTGTTAATTACTTTGAATATAAAAACTTGTATTTAAATTGAATATTTCTTTTCTGTTTAGTTGTTTCGATTCACATCCGATCGATAGCCTCATTGTCTTATGGCTTACATTTGCCACCAATTGTCGATACGTCCGAAGAGATGCCAAACTCGTTGACTCTGCACTCAAATACCGTATACCTGTCGCCACAGACTCTCACAGAGTATTCGTCGACCTTTGGTTTAGTGAAAGTTGTGTTTTTAATGTACAAAAAGTTGGCTCATCTCATGAAACCAGAGCACGAGGGCTCCGAACACTACCCGGTTATGATGACACCGGATGGTGGACTCACTCCACTCAACTCGACCAGAATCATCAATTCGGAGATAATCGGCATTTTGTTAAACCGCGAGAGGTATACACCTCTGAGTGAACCGATTGAGTTCACACTGAAACACCTTCACACTGAAAACGTGACGAACGCTAAGTGTGTCTTCTGGGACATCGACCGCAGAGACTGGTCAGACCAGGGCTGCCATACTGTCCGCTCCAACCGGACGCACACACAATGCAAATGCAATCATTTGACTAATTTTGCCATTTTGATGGACGTCAACAACATCGAGGTATGCCATCGATTGACTTATGACGAGTTAATCTCTTTCTGTAATTAAAGCCCAGAATTAATACGTTTTGATTTTTTAATTAATCTAATGGTAGATCTCATCTGGAAATGAGTTTGCATTGCGTGTCATAACAGTGATCGGTTGCACCGTATCTATCATATGCCTTACCATTACGTTTATTACTTTAGTCTCATTCAGGTATGCGTTGATTACTAAACAATTATTTTTAATCATTAATTTTTTGTTGTTGTCAAACATAACCGAAAATATATTGAAACTAAAAATACTTTCTTTTGCTGTGCTTTCGCCTGATTTGGTAAACTCCAGGAGCTTAAGGAGTGTGCGGACAACCATTCACACCAATTTGTGCCTTTGCCTCATAATCGCTGAATTGATTTTTCTCTTGGGTTCGTGTTTTTCACACATTTTATGCAAATTTAGTTAATTTATTAATTAATTTGTGTTTTTTCTAATTACTGAATACAGGAATAAATGAGACAAAAGTCAAACTAATCTGTGGTTTAATAGCCTGTGGTCTTCACTACTTCTTTTTGGCCTCATTCTTATGGATGTTCTTCGAGGGCTTTCAGCTCTACGTTATGTTAATCGAAGTCTTCGATCACGAGAAGTCACGAATCAATTGGTATTATCTGTTGTCATACGGAGTTCCCGCTATTTTGGTCATCATATCGGCCATCATTGACCCCTTGTCTTACGGAACGTCTAAATACTGTTGGCTTCGATCCGATAATTACTTCATTTGGGCTTTTGTTGGACCCGTCATCGCCATACTTATCGCTAATATAATATTCCTCTCCATCGCAATGTCCACAATGTGTCGACACATTCCGCACATCACATCCAATAAGACCAAAGAACAGACAAAACTGACAAATATTAAGTAAGTTTAGGGTTTCATTTCTAGTGAAATGTAATCAATTTATTTCTTACTAATTGAACTAATCTTTTGTTTTATCAAATATTACTAATCCTGTGGTGAATGCGATCTTTGATTAACTCATTATTTTATTTTCCATTTCTAACTCTTCTTAAAATCACTCCAAAAGTGGTGAAAATGTCTCTGATTTGAGGCGAAATAGTCTTAAGTAAGACTTTATTTTCATTTTTTCATTTCACTAAACTTTTGAACACTTTATTAAATTAATTTCGTATTTGATTAGGATTTGGATTCGCGGATCACTGGCACTGGTATTCCTGTTGGGCATCACCTGGACGTTTGGTCTCCTATACCTGTCGCGAGAATCCCTATTCATGGCCTACTTGTTCACAATCACCAATTCATTGCAGGGATTATTCATATTTGTGTTCAATTGTCTCACTAACGATAAAGTGAAGGCAGAGTACCGGAAGCTGTTCTCCGCACTCAATCTGAAGCCAATATGTCTCGACTCGACGCCTTCCAAGTCTGTCGACACCACCAGAGAACAGATGCCTTCGTCATCGCTGTCCGTCGCCGACCACAGGACCAGTCTTTACGTCAATAACTCGAGCAATATATCGCATCCAAAGGACTCGTCAGTCATTAATGTGTTTCCGGTGACCAATGCTGTCAATTGCGAGCCACTCATTGGCACATCTGGTTTACCGCCCAATGGTCTCAACATGAGTGCACTGATGGCCAGCACCGGCACTGAGAGCCCGAAAATGCGTCGAATGACTCACAAGTATTACCTGACGGACGACTCCAGCGATTACGGCTGCAAACGACTGCAACAGAGCCGGTGTCGCGAGATCTACGCCCTCCACGGCGGGCCCCACTTGGCCTCCCACTCCCCCAACTTCATTGAACACATCTACGAGTGCATCGATGAGGACCCATATGTCGCCAAACTATTACTGCCAGCCATTCAACGCTCACTCGACGGACAACACGTCCGCACTCTTAGCGATTCGTCGCGTCATTCAGACAATAGACCATTGATTTCGTGTTCAACGTCTTCGCCCAGAAGTCATAACTTTCATATTCAGCAACAAAACACCGGTATGTCTTGCAATTGGAGCTCAATTTGAGACATTTGTTTGAGTGAATGGTTTTAATCGTGATTTTCTGGTGTTTCAGGCAATCATTTACCGGCGATAGTGAAGGACAACACCAACAATAAGACGACAATAATCTGTTCCAACCATTTGTCGACATCGAGTCAGCCGACTGTCGCCCTATTGAATGGCAATAATCAAGTGATTTGTTGTACGCTTAATGACCACCAGTTGTGTGATCACAACAATCAACAGACAATTAACAGCCATTTAAGGCAACAGTATTTAGTGACAAATGGTTTAAACAATTTAAATAACTGTTTGCCGAAGAATCGACACCTCAGTAGTGACTGTTAGGACCTGTGGCCACAACTGCACCACAAACTCATGTGTCAAACATATAAAGACTATTGAAATCTAATCAAAAACTGTTTGCTATATTGGACTCAATTCCCAGTTATTGTGATCTTTTAGTCTTCATTCGTGCCATCAATGAAGACATCGTTTTGACGGTTAATGCGAAAAGCGATTCAAAACTGGATTTTGAAAATAATTTGTGATATTTTTAGACAAACTTTTAAAGAAGTGTTTAATATTTGATATGAAATCATATTAACTATGATTTGGTTAATAAGTATTCAAACGAACTGCTCATCGATTCATTAAATTCTCATTAATTTTATATAAAGTTTTTGTATACAAACTATACAAACATTTAATGCATTTGTAAATACTTTTTAAATTAATTATAAATAATTATATTATTATACTATTTCCTATTATAAGTTATTTTAATTGTATTATAAATAAAAAGCTTTTAAAATATTTAAATTGTGTCTCATTTTACGGTTATTTCTCACAAATGCCTCCTTTTTATACCGCATATAATCACAGAATAAGTGACAGAATCACAGAATTTGTGGCAAAATTCATATAAACTGATTGATAGACACCGCAGTGACAGACATACACCCCATCGTAAAACTACATAAAACTAATCAATTGCTGGACTCGAGACCAATCGAGGAGTAGTCTCTGGTTATAAGCCTCAGCTCTTTAACCCTTTCCCTGCACTTAATCCGTGAACTCAATGTCCAGCGATCGATGGTTTTCTCGCAATACAATATGATTGCAGATAATAATAGTATATAAACACAAAAATAGTATTAAATAGAGTTTTATGAGTCGTTGGTTGAAATAAAAGCTTCAGTAATAAAAATAACTTTCATTCAAAAATAAAGTCAAATAGAAATGCAACTTCTCTTAGTCCCGACACGACTGCCACCACTCCTATCCCGAGTCCCGGCCAGCGAGCTGTTCCCTAAACACCTATCAATGGATTAGACAAATGTTTAATGAATGAGACAATGAATCCATTGGTTAACCGGCCGACCGCTCAAAGTGTGGCACCGGTTGTCTGAGGCTAAGGCCACGTTTGAGGCCAGGGATGGACTTCGAGGCGTCGGTCAGAATGAGTGGCGATGTGTCGGAGAAGTGGTCTGTGTTTGGGACCAGAGACGAACCCAACGTCGGGATGAGTCGAGAAGACGAATGGTTTGTGTGGACACAAGTGGTGCTCCGGGAGGCTGACCAGGATTTGCGTGTCAAGGGGTTGGGTAGTCGTGAGGCACAACCAGTTTGGCGACGGGTATGCGAATCCTTCCAAACACTGTGTTTGAGTGCCGCGAGTGAGCCATCAATCTGGAGATGGGGGCAGTGGTGGGGAAGGACTGGTGTGAGAAACAGTAGCCATTAGTGGTGCACATCGTTGTGATGACCACTGTTTCAGTGGATTGGGAGGTCTTCAGGCGACTGATGGGCGGAGGTGTAGAAGCGGACGTCTTGGGAAGGCGTGCGTACCGTCTGATCGGTGGCCGACACGTCAGTCGCCGTCTAAAGCGACGATCCGTTGGCACAACTGGTCGTCACGTCTTGAGGGCTGCGGTAGACCTGAAAGGAGTGGTTGTGTTGTGAATGGCTTTGGTTGTGATGTCTGTGTTGGCGATGGACTGACTGTCTGTCGGCGACGGCATAAAGAGCGCCAGAAGTGACTGGTCTTCGCATTGGAGACTCAGTTGTCGTCCAATCCATCGGATGAGTGGCTGTCGACTGGGCGTCGGTGCGAGCCGTGAGTGAGTGAGACATCTGTTTGGCGTTCCCTTTGAGTCCGTTATTTAAGACACCATTCATTCATTTGATTAGAAAATGAAAACTTTTATTAATGTTATATAAAGTGATACAGAATTACATGAGTTATACAGAAGTCAATCAAATGATTGTTTACAGGAATAGTGACTCATATTCACAACAATTGTGTCAAATGTATGGAAGTGTTGCCGATTCTGACCATTGAGTCGAGTCTGAGGTTTCTCTTCAATACGACCGCAAACTGATGGCTATATTTGTGGTCATTCTTAGGCTCTTTGTCTCCAATGGGTTCACCACTTGTTGGCAACGATTTGTCCGCAAATTCCTTCAAATCGAAAGTCATTTGCCAGTCATTGGTGTCCTGTTGTCCACAGATCTGTGAATCCGATTGTCTGTCCAATGGATCCCAAGAAACCAATCGATCCAATGGTTGTCTGTCTTTGCTTTGTTTGAGTCGATTGATGCCAACAGACAGTGGTTTGCAGTGAAGGCACAGAAGTCTTGACTTCCAATTGAGTCCACTCTTGAGTCTCAATCGCTTCTCCAGTGATTGTCTTCGAGTGAATCCATAGTTCAATTCAATTCGACTCAACGGTTGTTTCAATTCCCAGTTCTGTGTCTTAGACTCGATATTCTTCGCGAGCCATCGGTTGTAATATCCGTGCGATTCCTCCACAAGAGTCTCATTCGTGGGATATGTCGGCGATTGTATGGATAGAGTGGACATCCATTGGACGATCTGTTGGTCACACAGTGGTGTGAATCCAAGAGTTGTGGCCAACGATTGACTCAATTGTGAAGTCATTTCGAGGCGTGAAATGAAACTCAAGACTCGTTTCTCTCTTGTTTTCGAAGAAGTTTTCGCTTTTGATTGTCTTTGTCTTTGCCTTTGGTTTTGTGAGTCAATCGCAGAGCACTTCGTTTGCGACACTTTTTGGTCACAATTTTGTGTCCATTCGTGTGGACCGACAGTCTGTTCTGTCTTTCGATGAGTTGTCTCTCAGACATCACTTCATTGGTGTGATTGTCGACCACTTCGGCACCCGTTCTCTCGATGACTCTCAACGGGAACTCCTCTTTGAGTTCTTTCATGGGTTTTGTGACCAAATGATTGGTTTGAATGAGATTTAAATATCTCATGAATTCTTGCGATTCTATGCACTGAATGTCACTCTCTTTGGATTCAATGGGAAGGGAAGCGACGGTTGGATTGAAATACTTATTATAGGAATAGATATCGTATTTCTGGATCTCCTGAATGGACAGCCTTTTGATGACAACTTTTGCCACTTTTGGGTTGTCTTTGAGATCATTGTTGCAGTTGTTGTGGATTTGGTCATTGAATGTGAGGAATGAGTTGTCTTTGGGACTCATTATGGCATCAAATGGGGATTCAATGGATTGATGCCATTCTGTGCGTAAAGTAATGCATAATATGTCATAAGATTAGTATAATCTGTCAAATGCTGTCATATTTTCATCAATTGTTTTATATTTGTAATGCTTTCAAACGAGACATTCATTTGAACTCTGCTTTAATATAAAGTTATTGTTGAATGCATTGAATATAAACGCACATAAATTGAACATTAAATATAAATCTCAAATGTTTGTCACGAATGAAGACATATTTAAAAACTTTAAATTTTTACGCGAAAGCAATAGAAAAGCAAAGTTTCAAAAGCTTTCGGACAGAAGTCAATTATTTTGAGTTAATTTCTTAAAACTAGTAAACGTTGAATATGGGTAAGGGTGGCATATTTCTATGAAATACATGTCCGCCGATTGGGCTACAGGTGCTCACCACAGATCTGGTATTCTTTTTGAGCGGTCACGTGGGGAATGTATGGGTCAGTAAAACCCTATCCGAATAACTGACACATTATTTGAACACAATTTGTGTCATAAAACTAATGAGTAGTCAATGAATGTCCAAATCGTGTGAATAACATGTTTTGTGTACAACTTAACCAGTTTTTACTGAATTGTTTTAAGACACAAAAATTAATTCGAAATACAATTAGTTGGAGAAACTAAACGTTATTTTAAGACTCGATTAAATGAACACAAAAGATGTCTCATAAGAACTTCATTGTATCTCCAATTGCCTCCAATTGTGATCAAAACAACCATTCAATGGCTTGGAGTGAATCCAAAGTAATGAAAAGTTGTAACAATTGGACGGATAGGAAGATATTAGAGTCACTCGTAATTAGAGGTTTTCATGAAACATCACTACTTAATAGGGATAAAGGATTTCAATTAAATGAAATCTGGAGTTTAGTTATCGATAACATCTCGTGATTTGTCTATTATTTAGTTTTGAAAGTTTTTAATTCGTTTGATCTCATATTTTATAATAACTCGTCACGAAGGCTCCGATTAGGACCCAAAGTACTCGAGTATTCAGATCTAATAAATATCTTTAAATCATCACTAAGTCTAAAGAGTTATTTCACATCATATTTATTCTATAATTAGTTGTATTGACCTCCAGTTTAATAAATGTTCAGGAACAATATTCTCTTGGATGGCAAATTCAAAATAAGCATAGATTTAAATGAAGATTCAGACACATCACTAAATCGTACGAATTTCTATGAAAAGCAACATTTGGTTGCAAGAGATTCCTATAAAGTTTCATTTCATAGCAAATCTAATGTATAATACAGTAATTACTCATATTGTCAATAGTATTAGTGTACTATTCATGTAATATTCATATCAATTGGATTTGATATGAATATTGAGACCTATATATCACAAAATGTGACATCAATTCAAATTATATAAGGATTGTGTGATTTGTATGAACACCTACTTTATACATAGGAAAACATTTGATCATTACCTCTATATTTGTAAATAAGGCATATTCTCGCAAAAGTATTACAGATGGACATCGAAAACCTCAAGGACTTCGAAATAAACTGCCGGTGCTCTGTGCACTAATCACACTTAACAAACTGTACTTACTATAAGTACTCACAAGTCAACCAATTAACAGGTATAGTGTGTTCAGTGCAAGTAGCACCGGTAGCTTATCTGTTAACAACAATTAACAGTAAAATTCAAGAATTCGATAACAAATTACATATTATTTCTAATAAATTCTTTATTGTTATTACATTTTATGCATACATTCAGCAAAAATGCGGTATATTCAATGAATTTCATTGGTTTTATTATTAATTTTCAAAACATTTCTCGTAAATAAACATTTAAAATACAAAATTAAATAAAACTTGTTAACAAATTGCGTTCAATGCAAATTTAAAAACATACAAAAAATAAACTAAATGTATTTGATTATATGATTGCTTGACAACTATAGTAAATATTTTTGAATATAAATTGTGTTCAAATAAATTGGATATATTTGGCATAACTTGTGCCTCAATTGCAATCATAATATAATCGTATAGTTTATGTTTAAGGTATACATAATAGTTGTGCAAAATATGTCACAATTTGTTGTACTTTTAATACAAAGCCTGAACTCCGAGGACAGTTATGACACCCAAAGCGTACATCAAGTATTGCGACAAATATTTGGGCGTAAAGTCGCGTCTTTTGGTCAATAATAGGGACATAAACCGGAGTTTACTGTCATTATAGGGTGGATAGCGCTTACTATTCACACAAAAACAATATATCGTTAATTGGTTTTAATTATGGAAATGATTGCAATGAACTCACGATCCGATGGCCTCCAGAACCGGATTATATCCGCGAATCAGTATAGACTTCTCGTGTGAGAAGGTGTCAAATGAGTACTTTCCGTGATATCGACCCAAACCTGAGGCTCCAATGCCACCAAATGGCAGCGTATCTATCGAGAGGTGAATGACGGTATCGTTTCCACAAATGGAGCCTAAAATAGATAATAATTGTCAGCAAAAGGATAGGAATGGTATTGAATGCAGGGCTGACTCACCACTCGATGTCTCGTTTACGAACTTATCGATTGTCTTCTGATTAGTTGAGAACAAATACAAAGACAACGGTTTGTCTCCCTTTTTGATGAAATTGATGGCGTCGTCCTCCGATTGGACGCTCACTATCGGAAGAACGGGTCCAAAGATCTCTTCACTCATAATCTGATAGATAATCAAATCTATTCATTAAAAATTTTCATATTTTCAAGATTTGGTCACTAATTACGGGATCATTAGGCGAGACATCGACCAAAACGGTGGGTGCGATGTAGTTCTCGGAGCTGTCAGTCTGTCCGCCGATCACAGCCTTCCCTCCGCCGGCCATTAATTTCGTGATTCTCTCGAAATGTTTTTTATTGACAATTCGTGCGAAGTCTTGAGAGTTCTTCGGTTCTTCGCCGTAAAACTCTTTGACAATCTTCGCCGCACTTTCTATAAGAGTTTTCTGCACTTTAGGCGAACACAAGACATAGTCGGGTGCGACACACGTCTGGCCGGCGTTTATCAGTTTTCCCCACAAGATCCTTCTCCACGCCATCTCCATATTGGGCACCGAATCGTCGATATATAGGGGACTAAACAATGAGAATAATTAGACAGAGTTTTAACAACTTATAGATAGAGAGAATGTAGGCCTACCTCTTGCCGCCCAACTCCAATGTGATGGGTGTCAGGTGTTTGGCCGCCGCCTCGTTCACGAGTCGCCCGATTTGTGTCGAACCCGTGAAGAAGATATCTGAGCAATGAATGTTCATAAGTTTGTTTTTGGAGAGTTATGTTGGTAGCTCAGAATGTCAGTTTGAAAAGAGACTCATTGACAACACATCGAAGACCAGGAGGCCAATAGTGTACTTTCGTGAGGACCTATTGTCTTTTATACGACAAATTAGTCACAATTTTCACAAAAATCAATGTCAAAACCGATTCATACGTTGTCGAGATAACGAGGTATGAGTTCAGCTAAAGTAGTGGCCGTACTGTCGGATATTTCTGAGGGCTTAATGATAGCACAGTTTCCGGCAGCGATGGCACCGACGAGTGGGCATAGAGTCAACTGAATCGGATAATTCCAGGCGCCGATTATCAGTGCCAACCCAAAGGGCTCTTTGTGGATGAAAGCGTTGTCCATCATCACCACTAAGTTCTTGGACACTGACTGTGGTTTCATATTCTCCTTCAAGTGCATCAACTGATCTTTGATGTCATTCTTGACGAACTCTAATTCAGTCATCACTGTCTCGAATGGTGGCTAAGAAGTGAGACAATCAGTCAATTAAACACATCATATGATTGCAAATTCATTGAAGACATACTAAAGACTTCAGGAAAAACTGCCGTAATCGCTTCCGCAGCGACAAGAGTAGCTCTGTAGCTATGTTACGTAAGTTAACGCTCTGTGCTTTCAGTATTGGAAACCACTGTAAGGCCTACTTACGGTAGGTCGCCCTCGTAATCGCCTGAAACACAATGGGGTCATCATTAGCATCGCGAACGAGTACAAGTCATTCACATAAATGGCCAGCAAATGAAGAAATACATGAACCGATACCTCATAATCGGACGCGATTTGAGTCAAATGTATTGTCTTATAATCGCATTCAATGTTAATTATATCATAATTTATGTTTTTCGGCATTTTATACGCTCTTCAATACAAATATTTAATTAATACGATATATTCATAAATAAATAAATCACAAGTCTTTTTGGTTTATTTGGACATTTTGTCTCGCATTGTGTGTATTTACACAAAATATTTATTTAAATCACTTCTCAGACAATAAATGTAAAATATAAATAATTAGCAATTACTTTAACTGTAAAATGAAAACCCGTTTCCAAAAGCATATTATATAAGACGAGAGATGAGTCTCACATCTGAACCCTGTCAGTTATTTGAGATAAATCTAGAGTTGTGTTGTAGAATCGCAAGTTATTCTGAGTGCTTTTGGTTATGTTATCATCAATTATTATTTTAGTTAAAAACTTTGAATTACAGTTTGTATTGTTAAGAAAACCATTTTAATTAGTTTTTATCTATTAATTTAAAAATAGTATTTTAACTATAAGGAAGGAAATACATGTAAGTATTATTCGATAATAATTAGTATTGTATTTAACTATTTCGGCAAAAACTTTGGGTAATATACTTTATTATAATTTATAAACAGTTATAAAATTGAATTTAATTTTAGACTTATGTCGAGGTTTTATATGTTAATCAACGTTTGGTAGTTGTTATCCAAACTCCCACTCAATTGATACCCTATAAACGGCAGTTAATTACTTTGTTGATAAATTTAATTATTTGTGTATTTACGTTTTGAATTAATTATTGTTGAATAATAATATTAATCACTGTATTATGGCCATGATTTTTTCAATATTCTTCAAAATATTATATTTCAAAAAATATACAGTTATTAAAATCTAAAGAATCTAGAGATAAATGCATTGATAATCATTTGATAGTACTGTAAATGTTAAGTATTTTTTGATGTGTCTATGATTACAGACATTCATTGTGTGTATAATAGAAAGATATTTCGTAATCTATTGTTCCGATAAAGTCTAGTCTCTCTGATAACAAACATAACTGAATTCATACTCATATTAATATTATGTTATCATATATTCACTGCAAAGTTATATAAGTCTATCAGAAATACTTTGAATACACTTCTCGGCTATAATCATAAAATAGATACAAATAAATGTCAAACAGATTTGCGTGACTTTAGCACTAAAGCCAATCCTTGCAATCATTATTGCATTTTTGTACTCAAAATCATTTTCTCTTAAATTAATATTTATTCAAACTTTTATACAATTGAAGGCCTTTTCAATGGCTCTTCACTTGATAGAGTTTATGTTTATTTACCAAAAAGAATTCCTATAGTGGTTTCCGAACCTTTAATTCTTTATTAATAAGTTGTTTACACTGTTATTAAATCTTTATTAATATATTATCGACATTTTGATAACCATATAAACTTTTGGTCTGCTTTTGATTTACTAATTGAATCATTTATAATAAGTAGCAGTAGTTTATACAAAATAGTTAATTAAATTACAAAATAACAAAAAATTTTGGTCTCATTTGCAGTGCATTTCACAATCAAATCAATTCTAACGAATTATTTGCTCAATAATTAAGTAACTATAAATCCTGTTATCTATAGTAATAGCCGAATTTACGTTTACTTTTATTTTTATTTGCATTTAATGTAAGTTTAGTAATATTAATTATCTGTAACAAAACGAAAATATTTAACAAAAATCCCAAATATATTACGAAAAAGTAAAAAATAATTTTCAAATTGTTTTGCAATTAAATGCTTAAAAAGCATTAGTTTGTGAGTTAATGGTAATAGCAATGCATTCAATGTACTCAACACCGAGAAAATAGTCATTCAATGTTTGTTACAAATAAATACAAAATGATATATAAATTATACATTAAATGGTAACACAAATGAAACTTAAATGTGAAATACCTTTTCAATTAAAGCGGACATTATATGCGGCAATGAAAGTGAACCCAAATATAATGCAAATCTCAATGCAATGAGTGGACAATCAGTCGGACAGTGAGACAAAGCAGTGAATGAATGGTTGATTAGTGTCTGTCTGACAGTGAATGCGATTCATTGGAAATGAAGTATAAAATATGAAATTGTTTTTATGTTTTATGTTTGGGTTTGACATTGAATTCAATCAAACTTTCCTCAAAACTGATGAATTGATAAACAGATAACAAGTTATGGAGACATCTATTGATGCCATTCATCACCACTTCTTCCAACAAATACTTTATAACTTTTGCGTTCATTTGCTTTAGTCTTATGTAATATTTATGTTTAAAATGCCATCAAATATTAGTATTCAATAAGATATTTAATACTTAATACTTTTCATTTCTTAAGCCATAAGCTCTCTCTCTCTCTCTCTCTCTCTCATATTTTGGTAAATATTTGGTAATTTAAATGTGTTTAACACGAGAATTCACACATTTATAATATCATCAGCATTACTTACAGTCTAAATGACATTAAATATTCAACAGACCTCAAATTCTTATATACTGACTTATATTCTTAACTTAATTAAAAAGCATTTTTTACAGATTTTATATGAATAAAATATAATTTTTAGTTATCTTTTAAAATACTTTTACACATTTGTACCCAAACTCTAAACGAGTACAAAAGTACCCAAACTTGATTTATATCTACCAGTGCTCTGGTTTATGAAAATATGCATAAAATATTTTTATAAATGAGTAAATCTTATACAGTATTCTACAGTATCTTAACACAGAATACAAAATTTATTTTGCTTTTATATCCTACAAGAGTTACTCAAAAAAATGTTTTATATGTCTTTCGCATGAAAAGGGAAACTATTTTTTGATATTTCTTTTGATGGACTGGTATTTAATAACGAAATATTTGGCACGAATTCAATGATTGCATTGATTGACAATATTTTGAGCCCAACTCCCGTTGACTGACATTCAGTTTGAACGTCAGATTCAATTGCAATCACTTATTGGCGGCTATTTGTGCGACCATTTAGTTGTCAACTAATACTTTTCAAACAATAGTTGTCTAAAAGTTTTTAAATAGTTTCTGAGAGAAGTTATTATTATTTATTTGATGGAGAATTTGAGCCGAAAATTGCGATAAAGGCCTCACTTTTATGAGTTAGCGAAACACAAACACGAGTAGTGGCTGTAAAACAATAAAAGTCACAACAATTTTCATATAACCAATCAATTGGGAGTCAATGTACCGCTGCTGAGAGTGGGTCTCACACCAGACTACACCTGTTTTCTTCATTTATTTCATATATCAATAAATGGTGTTTTTGCTTAAGTAGCCGTTCCTCCACAGCACTAGTAGTTGTTTCCTATGACCTACAGTTATATCTTTGTCTTTTCTCTCTGTATATTCTATATTCTTGGTCCTCCACTGCCAGTCCCCTAACAACTGCTACTCATATCTAATGTCAAAAGTAATACAACAATAATAAAAGTATTCATTTATATCTGTGTTTGTTTAGTATGAGATTGGCTCGTGTAGGCTATGGTCAGGTATGAGTCCCTTTACGAGCAGTTTTGTATAATACAGTATAACTAAATAAACAGAAAAATTTGAGTTATTCTCACAATTAGTCTAAATGTGAGAAATAATGCTTAAAATAAATTGAAGCAAAGAATCCGACACTCGATTTAATATACAATTATATTGGCTTTTCATTCAACTCCCGAATAAAAACTTTAGTCCAAATTTTTGTCACAAATATTCAAAAAATTCTTTTCATTATTAGCTTTTCGGTTGTGAAACTCAAACCCAATATACAGTACGTATAAGATTTAATTGAACACTACATTCAAGCATTCATTTATTGCACACATACTGTAATCTAGAAATGCATTAACGTCTCGCAAATACAACCCAAGAATTATGATATTATAGCATACATTATGGTAACTTACCTTATAGTTATCATAGTTATGAATAACTGTTGGATAATTATATGCAATAATATTCCGCATAACGACTAACAAAAGGATAAAACTTATTCAGCGCTCAAAAAATGGACACAAAATGTAATCAAAATAATAACTAATGGCAAAAAAGGCCTTATTTTACCTCAATTTAGATTCAAAACTCTGAATAAAAAGATTAATTTTAAAGATTACAATTTTTTGGTTGAAATAACTTTTAAAATATTGTTAAATACTGGAAATCTTTTGGAGCAAACCATGGCATATGGTTAAGACGTTTAAGACATCAAACGTTTTATAATAATAGATATTAATTTAAATTCAAATAAACTGACGGATCAATCAAATGTAATTTCAAAACATATTTATTTATTTATTTTTGTAAATATTATATACATATTGAATAAAATTAATTAATACTAGAGTTTCGGAAATAAAATACAAAATGTAAATTAAAAGATTGAGACATAATTATTTATATTAATTTCAATAAAATAATTAAAACTATAAATATATCTAAAAATTGGTTTCTTATTCATAATTATATATAAATATAACTTAAAAATTCACAAAATGTTACAAATATTTTCAATTTTTGAGCTCAAACTCAATTCCAAGTAATCATAAGATTGTTTTTTCGTGTGTTTAATGTTCAGAAAAACAAGTCTATTATTATTTATATATAAATACAAAATTTTTCATAAATAATTCGCTTTTTATGTATAACCGCTCATTCAGTTCACAAGAATCTTGAGTTTAAAATTTAATTTCCAAGTGATTCGCAAAACCAACATTTCATTCAAAAGTATTTATTATAATTATTAATCACTAAATAATTTGAGAAAAAAACTATTTTTCATTCAAATTGAAAATTAGCTGCTTTTGGCCAAACATTAGACGTAAAATATGGCAAAAAATTGGTTGTATTGTATAAAATGCTCTCAAAAAAGGCTAAAACAATAGTTTGTGGAAAAACAACAAAAAGCTGATCCAATGAGTGGTGAAGAACGGGTGCGAATGGCATCAAATGGTGATCACAAAAACATTAATGATTACTTCCAATCAAAGTTCACTTCCATTTAAGTATATTTAGTTCACAATAAACACATCAATCCTTTCGGTTTTTATGTCCAAGACTTGATTTCCAAAGATTAAGTGTTGTTATAATTATATTTTATTATTTATTAACGCAATGTTCGCATAATTTATATATATATGAGAAGAATCGAGTCATTTATTTACAATTAATCATAAAATCTTATTTATTATTATTTGTTTGTTTTGATCGCACCTCAAGAAAAGGCACACATTATATTCAATTGTCTAAATGCCATCAGAATTGCCGCCAAACTCTTGAGATATATTGACACGAATTCTGCATTGCATTCAAATATATTTCTCTCTCGTATTGTCCGTGCGATTCATTCAAATCAATGTCTATTTGCTGTCCACACGTTTGATCCGAACATTTGATGTATAATTTTTGGCACAAATGATGAATTATTAAAATCATTGAATCAATGGATGAATTATTAAGAGAACTAAACCTCAAAAATCACTTAAATTTAGTTCAATAAACGGTTATAAGTTTATTCTGATCCAAGAGAGCAGTAAATTGATTGTAATAATTAAAGTTATTGTCCTAATGGGTGACCACATGAGAGCACCGCCACTATTAAGTCCATCACTTTTTTCTCGGGTATCGTTGGGCCGCTTATCGCTAATGTCTGTCAAACGGATATCAAAAATAATAAATTAATAAAATTATAATTTTTTGTCACAAAATAGTGCGATAAGAATGCATAGGAAAAAGAGTGAATAATAAATGTTTTGGGCGTTGAAGACATTTGAAATTTTATTTATTTCATATTTCATATAAATATATGAATGTTTGAATGGCCAGACGTTTTGGGAAATGGCTTTTATCGCGAGTGTGTGCTAACGTATAGGGAATGAACTGCTTTTCGTGTGATGGTTGGCACAGGAACGCCAAAAAAGGCATCAAATCTCTTCATATAATTGAAAAACAATTTTTGGTGCCTTCAGTACTGTATGTGTTTACACCTGGCCTTCCCTTCCAGTGCTGCACAGAGTGTGTGTCCCTTCTGGCCATAACTGATACTTCTTTACACATTAGTTGTGTTCAATTGAATGTTTTAGCTCTGCTTTTAGGCCACATATCGTCCCCTTTTACAGCTCTATCCCAATGCCTATGTTATCGCCCAATACCTCAATAACTATTACCAATACTTGTTTATCAGACAATTATTCAAATGTCTTCAGCAATCAATTCCCAGAATATCATCCACTGATAAGAGCGGTATTTAAAACATTTTTATTTAATAATAAAAACTGTATTCCTTTTAAATGGCTATAATTGGCTCAACGTTTTGAATGAAGTTTCAATGAAACGGTGTGTGAGAGGAGTAGTAAACTATGGGAACACTGAATGTAATGCCAATTAAATGGCATTTACTGTCAAAATCAAAATCTAAGAGACAATACCTTTCTTTTTAGAGGCGTATCCCTGATCTGCTGGTCTCGAGGGGTCGTAAATGTGTTTAATAGCCGGCAGTTTCGTGAAGTGCGGTCTCCACCAGTACGGCGTTTGAGCGGTTGATGACTGAATGATCGGTGACTTCGTAGACGGCGTGTACGCCATGAGTGACGGCCTATTCGTCGAGTAGACGTTGGACGTGTTGGACAGGGAGGTCTGATACCACGTATTCTTGTGTGGTTGGCGTTTGGCGGCCCCCGTGTCGAGCGGCGGCGCCCGGTTTGAGCTGATGTTGACGGGCGGCTCCAGAGTCCATATCCGCACCACTCGAGCGGTGGTGCTCTGAGTGACCGGTTTTGCAGTCGTCGTACTCGTTGTGGTGGTTGTGGTCGTTGAACGTCCTGATGGCGGAGACACTGTAATCACAAAACACATACCAATTAACAATTTATTTGATATTCTGTGCAAATATTTAACAACTATTTTATTAGCCTCTCATACGCTCTGCAGACAGAGAACAATGCATTTAATGATATACAAGAATATCGAGAGAATACTGTTTCTCTCCAATGCATTGAATAACAAATGATAAGTGTCTGAAAATTAGGGCAAAAATGATTGCTATAAATAATAATTATGATTGTGTATGGAATGGACACAAATATATTTGAATTTCTGTTTGAATACAATTATCCGTATCATAAATGAATGTATGAATAAATAGGGAACACATGGGTTGAGGCATTGAGATGAGGGCCTCACGAAAGGTCTGTCAGTTCCGAGTGTTTGGTTCGCGTATACCATAACAAAGGGAGTCTCACATAGTCTTACATACAGACAGACGGTTCGGTAAAGTATGTTAAAAAAATCAGTATAAAATAGAAATAAATCAAAGAATCTCTCAATTATTATAGGATAGCGGCAATTGTGTCGGCAATTGAATCTTTACACAAAAAACTGAGTTAACATTCATTCATAATCATAACAGAGAGCCTCACGTTTGCCGATCGGAGCAACACTTTGGAGGTGTAGGCAAATGGCAGACCATAGGCTGCCCTATGATAGTGATGCCAGTGATTGCCATTCAAACCCGAGGCAAACAACTTATATAATGATTAACATATTATGTGAAGAATGCAACACATCTATGAAAATAAATATAATATCTCTGCCAGAGATCTGCGAGACGTAAATAATAATTTTAAAACGATTTTTAACTAAGCATTTGATGATAGAGTTTAAAGGTATAGCTATTGCCATCACTATTCCGATAGAGAATTGGTATTCAATAATAATTTTCATTTAATTGGATTATTAACTCAATTGAAGCCCAAAACTGCCGAACCATTACTTCTTATAAATTAATTTTCAATATAAAAAACACCGAAACAAATCAAGTAATGACCAAAAGGTCTAATAAAATGCAAATCAATAATCAACTAATTATTCGCCAATAAGTCTCTATTAAATCATAGTAAATGCCTAAACAGTCACATCCCTGGCCGATAAGACCACCCAAACAACGCAAACACAAACATTTTTACTGACAATATTCAAAAACGCTTTCAAATTCAAATATTTGATTCAATCAATACATGTCTATAAATAAACACAAAAAATTTTTGTGTGAATTTGTTGCAAAAAATAAATTCATTGAATATATGGATAAAAACCAGGAAAAGCGACCAAATCGTTATATATTTGCCGTACAATCCATACAATGGGATGCCTTTCAATGGCTAAGTGTGTGACTCATTCTCATGGCTTCTCTAATGCTATCATTTTTAATATACCGTACAATCAATTGTATGGATATTTTAGTCAAATATCGTTACTATTCATTCACATCCACATCCACATTGGCAATTCAATATGACGGTATTCAATAGTATTAATTCAATGAAATATAATTAAATAAAATATATGTATTGAACACATAGGTATCACTCATACGGAGACTGATTGGATCTATAATTGAGTTAATACTAAATATTGAGAATATATTCTGTGATAAATATACAAAAATGCAAATATATTCCAATAATAATATGTCTTTTCCCACAAAAATACAAACTCTACACTAAAAGTAATAAACATTTTTCACAAAACCTAATAAAGACTTGAATTGGACCCCTATTTATAATAAAGCGAATCGACAGTAAATTAATGAAAATTTAATTCCGAGTCCCGGAAAACTGGAAAACCTTATATATAATAAATTCGTATTCGCCGCCAACCATTGGCACCGGTATTCAATTATTAATTGGTTATCAAATTAGAAAAAGGATTTTTAATTCTAAACAAAATAATTTATTGGAAAATATTAGGGAACAAAATCAAGAGATATTTGGCAATAGTTTACAAAATTGATCAAAACTTTAAATACAAGGAAAAAGAGTTAAATATTATTTAAAATGCTTTTTATTTTTGTCATTAAACCTAATGATCGCTAAATAGATTAGAAATGATATCAATCTAAACAGTGAGATATAGCAAGAAAAGAAAAAACTATAATTAATCAATAGATTTGAAAAATAATTAATTTGTTGATCTCTACTCTAAGAATACAGGTGAGCACACAAATCTAATATAAATATAAATATAATAAAAAAATATTTGTAATAATTTTAGCATTTTGCCATGTTTTCTCACATGTATATAGTACTAAAAGATAAATGGTTTCAATAATTCATTGGAAAATGTTTTGGCAAAACTCAATATTAATTATGTGTTGCCTTGGAGTGGAGGCAAGCAATTTAGGAGTACTTCTCAAACACCTCTCCATAAGAAAAAGAGAGAGAATCAAGAATATAAGTATTAAAGCATTTAAATTGCGGTTCTCTTATAATGAACAACAGCCGTAACCAAACCCCCCGCCCAACATTCCCAACACACAGTCACTGCCATATTACAGTACATACAGGCCATACAAGTGCCACATATAGCCAGATATACAGCTCTACCACTCTGTTCCTAAATCTCTGGGATTCACTCAAGACGTCTAACATTGCCTAACATTCCTAACCAATAGTCGGAACTACAAAAAAGTAAAACTCAAAACACAACAAATATCAATACCAGTGCCTATTCTTACCGTACTATCAATTGTTAATCACTATATTCTCTATCTTTTGACGAATAAATATATTTTATTATTATTACAATTTAGAAAAAATGCAATTTTCACGCATTCATACACTACGGGCTCAGTTGGTTCGGGGGAAACACAGACACTCCATAACCGCATAGAAGTTATATATTTGTGCATAACTTATACAGTATATGAAATAAATGCAGAGGTTGTGAGTTTGAAGGCTCATGAAATTTATATTAACACGACCTCACCGTCTCTTCTGCTCTCCCTTTCCCTCCCAATCCCTCTCTCCATTGCTATGACTTGTTTTTGGCTGAAGGAGAAGGAGATACGAGTGCGAAGACTAGCACTGTGTTAGATATTGCCGAGAGAGAGAGAGAGAGAGAGCGAGAGAGAGACTGAGGAGTTCAGCCCATTTTCATGTCTAACACAATCTGCTAGTGCTATGCATAGGGTTTCATAAATATGGAAAATATTATATCAAACATAAGGTATAAACACAGCATAAGAGACACCAAAAATTAAGTATAAGTTATCGTTTGATTTGAAAGCAAAGTTAAAGTCGAAGAAAACTATTTCTTTTGATAACAAAAAGTGCTTTTTCTCTTGTGGTGATTGAATTTGAACTAAATTTATATAAAAAAAATTGTTTTATATTTTCTATACACACAGAGCAGTGTGGAAGTGCTCGCGGAGTGCCTAATATAATATAATAATAATATTTCTTGTGTTAAAAATATTTCTTTTAAAACTTGCAGTGAATTTATTATAAAAGTCGAGATCATGACTGACCCCACAATTACTTATACCTGCGCTCACACCAAAAGGCATCATAACTACAGTCTAAACAGCCATTACGGCTCAGACCCACAGCTCGCAAATAGTTTAGCGAAAAATTTCTTACTTTATAATATAATTTAAAAAACAGTTTTCTTCGCAAAATATATATTCAAAAGAGTTTTTGATATCACAAAAAGGGGTGTATTATGTAATACAACTCAATCTTATGGCAAATAATAAAATCTTTTAATTTGAAAAACATCTCATCAAACGACTGAAAAGACTTAATATAATACTAATTCTTTAATCGATAATAAATACTAAGAAATGTATGAATAAATTATCTGATAAGAGGATCAGATTTAGCACACATTTGTGTAATTATTTCATAATTGATACGATTATGAGTGACCAGAGATGTGGTTCACATAAGGGCTTACGAACGGGGAAGTGATGACAAAAACAACCAAAAATATGTTAAAAATATATTTCAAGTATTGTAATTGCTTTCATAACAAAAGAAACAAACTTTTCAATAAACAAAATACATTTAAATAAATTAAAATCCAAACAAAAGTTAATTAAAATTCTATCCTATTTTGCAAATCAATTGCCTTTTAATGGAGTAATTATCCATTGTTTGGGCGAATATTAAACGGCTTTGACTGTAGTTATTGTCGGCTTTATTGCTGTTTCAGCCCATTATAGAAGTTTTTACCCAAAAAATTAATAGACAAATATTTAACAAACGATTGTATCAAAAATAATTATTGCCTCAAAAAACAGTTTTTATAATCGACACAAAGTTTTATAAATTATTTTTGATTAAAAAGATATCTTAGTTTTTTCATAATAAATATATTCACAAGTATTCATTCTTTTTGTGTCAGATATTTCTGGATGTGTTTTGAGTAAAGAATAAAAAATATGAATATTTTATGTGTGAATAACTCCTTTTTTATGCACTCATTATAGCGAAATCTATTATTAACTAAACGCTGGTTTGCTTTTTGTTATCAAAACAATAGGTTTTTGCAAATTATGTAAAATATTAGTTAACAGCAAAAAAGTTTTGGCACTTTATTAGCCGATAGTTTGAGTGATTTATTGCGCAAATTATTAATCAAATTACGAGAAATGCAAATATAATTAATGAGTGGATATTAACATAAATACTAATATAATAATACATACGCGAACTCCTCTTACAGCACACTTTGAATACGACTTTCATGTGATGGGAATTACATCTTCCGGGTGACAGCGAAGGTGTTTGTGATAATGAGATAAAGTAGTAGTCCTGTCCGGGCAATAGAAGTTTTTACCCAAAAAATTAATAGACAAATATTTAACAAACGATTGTATCAAAAATAATTATTGCCTCAAAAAACAGTTTTTATAATCGACACAAAGTTTTATAAATTATTTTTGATTAAAAGATATCTTAGTTTTTCATAATAAATATATTCACAGTATTTCTCATTCTTTTTGTGTCAGATATTTCTGGATGTGTTTTGAGTAAAAAATAAAAAATATGAATATTTTATGTGTGAATAACTCCTTTTTTATGCACTCATTATAGCAAAATCTATTATTAACTAAACGCTGGTTTGCTTTTTGTTATCAAAACAATAGGTTTTTGCAAATTATGTAAAATATTAGTTAAACAGCAAAAAAGTTTTGGCACTTTATTAGCCGATAGTTTGAGTGATTTATTGCGCAAATTATTAATCAAATTAAGAAATGCAAATATAATTAATGAGTGGATATTCACATAAATACTAATTATTATGTATGCGCTTGAGGAGAATGTCGTGTGAAACTTATGCTGAAAGTACACTACCCTTAATGTAGAAGGCCCACTGTCGCTTCCACAAACACTATTACTCTATTTCATCATCAGGACAGGCCCGCTGAACTCCAGGCCACCCGGTTGTGGAGTGAATGGTCTGAATGTAATCGTATAATATCGGTTCAAAAATGGTTTATCACAGACAGCGATGGTTCGGGCGGTCGCCGAATTGGTTATACGACACGAGTCGTACTCCTCTTTAGATACCTATCCGTCAAAAGCAAACAATCGATACATTCATTCAATTATTCATAAAAACAAGAAGAAGAAGAAAAGCACAAAAACTAAAAGTGAACTCAAATTACAAATTCAAATCAATTGCAAATTGCAGTTCACTTGGCATTCATTCGCATCGACTGATTCTCCTCTATCTTATAGTTTGCGTCAAAAAACTTTTTTCTATCTCTTATTTTTGGCATTCAATTGATTCCGAGTTTGGCGTTTGAAATCAATATTTATTATAAGAAGTGATGAATCAATCAATTTGAAGGAAATGCTAGCGTATAGGAGATAATGGCCGTACATTATAGATGATGAAGGTCTCGATGTCGTCCTCCCGGGTGCCCTTCGAGTACATGGGGCACACAATGTTCACCTGGTCGTACTCGTAGGCTACGTTACCCCGGTTCACGTCGATTATGTGATCCGTGTTATCGATTCGGAATCTGTTTGGGTTTCAAACACAACATTTTATATATATTTTCCAAATCATATAATTAAATCTAATTATAATAAAAATATAAAAATTCATTTGCATATAAATTACACTTTATATCACCGAAGCCTATGATAACAAAAATGTTTGTCATTCGAGTGAAAAAATATTGGCCTTTAATTAAAAAAATCCTTAAATGAAAAAAATATATACACTTTAATATACAAGACATGACATGAAAGTCATTCACCAAAAAATACACATAATATTCAACCGAAAAAATAATTAATTAATTTTTATATTCTCAACCGTTTTGTGTGGGGAACTGACTGACTGTGTGTTTGTGTTTCAAGTGGTTTTCGGATTTGAGGATCAAATTGGCGAAAAACTTGTATTATTAGAAATTCAGTATTATTTTTGGTGTTATAAATGTTTTTTCATCACAAGAGGTTGTATAGAGAGGTAAAGAATAAAAAGTAAGAGATTTTCAAACAAAATTCAAAATATAAATTGAAATTAAAATAAATGAATTCCGAGAGAGAGAGAGAGAGAGAGAGAGACTGTTTGAGGGAAATTATAAATATTAAGTGCAATAAATAACGATTAACGTAATGCAAAAGACCACAAATAATCATCAATTTTACACAATATTTAATAATCGGAATGCATGGCAAACATTTTGATGGTATGACTAGTTTTCTGGTATTTAACTTCATTTCAATGAACGAGTGTTTCTTGAAGTTTGAGTTTTGCATTCAATGAGAGACAGTGTGTTGTCTCTCGATGTGATAGTTTGAGGGAAGACTGACTTGTGAGACAGTGAGAGACGATTATAAATAGCAATTAATTGATGTCTCACAATAGGATGGCAGAGATGGTGGCAATAATGATGGTCATCATCATTAAGATGAGGTGCAAAGTTCAGCGCTCTTGCAATCACTTTCGTTTAGAAGCAATATATGGGCGGACACTCCAGGCCTTTATGCCTCCCTTCGCATCACATTATTATAGATTGAGAGCTGTTTTTATAATTTTATAATAAAAAACACTTTTTGCCGACCAGTTCTTCAGATATGCCATTAGCTTCATATGCCTTCGCACTGTCTCTGCATTTCGGTGCCTCTCTCTCTCTCTCCCTCTCTCTCTCTCGCTCTCTCTTCCCATTCAAACACCATTTAAACACCACTTTTACAGTATTTTAAACACAACTAATGTTTAAGTAAATTAAGAAAAACTAAAACCCAAATATAAATCTTACAAAACATTAAATTATATGAGAATTAAAAACAAGAAACACTTTTTCGCAAACTTTCAATTATAAGTTACAATGAATTTCTAATTCAAACCGAAAATTAAAGCCTTACTATAATTAGTATATGAATTGACATACAATTAGAGATCAATTGAATAAAAGGAAGGGAACGGAACCGAAACGAGATGTCTATTGACGAGCAAATCATAAGCGATATGAATGTATGTATTGATCGCAATCAGAGTCTCTTATATTTAGGTCTATTTCGGAGGTACAGTAAGTAAGTTATGTAAGAATAGGCAATAAAAGCAAAACAAATAATTTGATTATTGCATTGCATTAGATGTTAAATGTGTCACAAATTGATAGATCAAACAACAGATTACAATCTCGATTGCGTTCAATATATTCAATGGTTTGTAATTGTTTGGCAAACAATCTCTCCAACAGTGTTGGTGTAGATCTGCAGCCAAATGAGGAATTTATATGAAATTTGCGAAACAACAACAACACAGCAAACAAATCAGACATAAAAAACAGATTATTTATTCGCTCGGAGTTTGTCTGATAGTAGAGAGCAATCAAAAGTGTTTTTCTCATCGTTTATATGACGCGTGAGTCGAGACTTCTTTGTGAGAGGAATACACCGATTGCTTTGCATATGCGATGGCATCCTATGGGCCCAACACAACACCCAACAACATACAGGCGCTCTCGCCATACAAACAAAAGTATGCGGCCTTTCGTAGAGATGAGACCTGACCGACCCATCCCATCCCTAACCACCCAAACCAACACAACAGACGAGGCCTTTAAATGCCAGCGAGTAGTGTAAGAAAAGTTTTTAAACTCATCTTTTAATTTATTAGCCGATCATAAGACGAGATAATGACTCGAAAAATATATGAACACAAAAAAATCTCATCAATGAATGAATGGGAAACTCATTTAACGCCTAAATATCGCCTAAATATACACTATTTAACCTTCAAATGGGTTAATACCAAATACAGTGCAAACTTTTTAACTATTTTTTGGGTTCGGGTTCGCAATTTGAATACAGCACTCATACATGACTTGCATTCAAATAGTGTTGTTATGCATAATATGGCACTTATTTTAATAACAGTCATGTAATTCGATTCACACTATTCTTTCACATCATATGAGACATCAAACAAATACTTTTCCTCCTTTACTACACTTTGCTTCACATCTCAATTGTGGCTACATTTGCAGTCTTTTTCATGACTCTCTTCCCTCCCTCTCCACCACTCCATTCACATCTCGCATAAGAATATACACAGCATTCCATGAGAGGACAGGCAGTACTTCTCAAACATATTCATTTGACTGCAATTTGAAACCATTAGAATATACTCATTCTCTCTCTACTGTCAATGCAAAGTCTTTCATCCATTTTATGAGTCCCTCTCGTCTATCATCTGATGGTCTGATGGCAAGCGTTGCCTTTATTAATAACTTCGCATAAGTACTAAACGTGTGAATCAAATCAAGTCGAGATTACTTTTTGCACTACACTATCGTATAATAACATTCATAAATACAAATACATCAAATGCATGTACAATTGAAATTTAAATTTATATTTAAGTGTCTTTTCATCTTTTTTCAATTCAATTGACAAACAATTCCTTTAATTCTTTAATAAATGAGTTTTAGATTTCCTGAACCGAGTGAGTCTATAGATGGGGAGGGGATTGGGACAGGGATTGTAATGGAAGGGAAAGGAAATCAATGAGATTAAAGCATTTGTGCAGCTCTTATATGTTATATACTCTTATGTCGTGTTCAGTGCAACTCATGTCAGACCATCACAACAGTTAACAACAAATATATAAATCAATTGAAAGCTAAAACACAACTGAAAAACTGCGACAATATTTCAGTGAATGCCGAATGAGTGGAAGATTTATCGATTATTTGATGCCTAAGTCTTATTGCTGTTATAAATTGAAAACTTCAATCATTTTCATTCCCATACAGGCGTTTGAATACATATTACTCCGTAATACTATGTAATATGTTTTCAATTGTCATAAAATATATTATTTTGCCCGTAATTTAAATACGAGTATATAATTATGTAAATAATAAAGAAATTAATAAAACAATTTCCTTATAATATAATAACATTTAATTGATATTATGTTTCATATATTTATATTCTAATTGAAAAACATTTCATTGATTTTATCTTATACGGCATTATATAATCGATTAAATGTTTTGGTCAACAAATACAAACCCAAACTAATTGTATTAAAATAGAGTTTTATTATTATATCAGACGTTAATTTCATTAGTAATCTGTTGAGACAAACACGACATTTAGTCGATTGAATTATTATTAGATTTAGTCAACACACCATTCACTATAGGATTAAAAGGATATCTCATTCAATGTTATTCTCCCAGAAATCACTTCTAATAAATAAAATCCTAAAATAAAGACCAAAACCTCTGTAAACCAAACGAAAGCATAAATTATGAGATTTGGTGAAAAAATGATTAATACATTCCTAACGATAATCTAATATTCAAAAGCGAGAGAAACAATAAAAAGGGGTTCGAGAGAGCGAGAGAGAGAGAGACTTCAGAGATTGAGTTAATGGACAAGACTTACGTATACAACACATGATATATAAAAAATGTTTATTACGTGATTGGAAAACAAGTTTTTGCAGTAAATATAAGACTCGAAATAATACAGTGAATACTGATATGATATATAAATAAATAGCTTTTTACTAATTTAGGAAATAAGTGCTTCAAAAGGCATAGAAAAAGTCGGGATGGATGTGGATGTTGTGCACAAATATTTAAATTAGATTAAAGACAAACTCAGAAGTTATGCAAAAACAATAAGTGTATGCAAGAGAAGGCAATGTATGCTATGCTATGATAAGGCAGTGAAATGGAGGCAAAAATTATAATTTCATGTCTTATATGAGACAACACATGAATGTTGAGTGAAATGGAGAGACAAACAGAGAGAGAAGAGATAACAAAAATGTCGTTTTATATCAATAATAGCGTATATAATAATAGAGAGACAGAGAGCGAGGCGAGAGATAACATGATATGGCGTTTGGAAGTCATGTATAGAGAAATACATGATATAATCCGCAATAATCTTCATTCAGGCGTCCAATTATGTGACACAACGAAACGCTAATTTAATCTAAATCTGCTTATAGTGTGTGTCATAAATTCAAAATTTTGAGTCAATATATGAATAGTGCGGACATATATACCGCGTAAGAAAATATTTGCCACTGAGAGTCGAGATTTTCATACGTTTATGAAATAAAATCAATACATGTTTGGGAGTGAGAGTACTATTAAGGGTCTATGTTCTCAACGACACAATACTTACACTGGTATTAGACTATGAGAGCAGATGTAGGTTAGCTCTGGTAGCTCTCTGTCAGGTCTCTGTGCACAAGAAAATTGTTTTCTCCATCATATGACTGACTCAATGATAATTCCATAGATTTAACAGAGATTTGCCATCAGATTATTTAAATCGCAAAATACATTGAATTGTGTTTTACAACTGTTTTGTTATATGGGATAAAAATATTGAACACAACCATCATATAAAACGCTTGTAAACGACATGTCATACCGTATAAGACATAGAAAAATCCCAATTTATATAATTCCAGCGCTATTCAGGAAATATTAGTTCAAATAGATTTGAATTTCAATTTTTATTTTCCATTCATTCGTATGAAATTTGTTCATTCAATCATACGTTGAGATGCAATCCATATAAGACTTTCAATCAATTCTCTTATGACATAATTATCATTAAATGCAAAAATTTATAACAAATTAATGCCAAACATTACATACAGGTATGAATTGATTGTTTTCGTATGCGAGTAACAAAATAATTAAAAATGTGGAGTAATGTACAAAAGAAGTTGGAAATGGTGTCAATCATTCACTTTCATCTCAATATGTATTGCAGTTATTATAATCTCAGGCAATCGTTTGGCTCAACTAAATAGGAGACCCTTACGTAACAACGAATTAATTAATTATTTTATGTTAAAAAATACAAAAAACACTTTTCTTTAATATATGAAAGGCTAAGCAAAAAAACGAGAGAAAATTAAGACAAAAAACTTAAGGAAAGTTGTGAAACAAAAAGAAATGCCTTCAAATGCCTTCAAAAATTGTTAATAAAGTCATTGATAAATATGTTTAAAAGTATGCAACGGATGGAGATATAAGAGACGAGTATTGATGGCATCAGAGAAAGAGATTTTGGTTTGTAATGAATTGGTTGGAAGTGCTTCAACCAAAAAACAATCAAATTCTTTGTTTAGCTCGGGATCTGTCAACAGATCTCACAGTTATATATAAATACATCACATAATGAATGCCGGATATAAGCGACGAATACAACACACAATCGCAAAGAAATCCGCTATTTTTTGGGCACTTTTTCACTGTTTGGAAAGTTTTGCAACGAAAATGGGGTCGACTCGAGACTCTCGACAACTCATTCATTCATTTTAGTGATACAATTGTGAGACATACAAAAAACAGGCAAAAAATAATAGAAATGAAAAAACTGCTGAAATAAATGAAATATAAAATTTGTCACAAATGGGAATACAATCGTTAAAATAGGTTTCATGTCTAACAGAGAAAAATGTCTTTCCGGTCATTCGGCCAACACATACAACACTACATATACTGTGCGCCAAATGGAGGGACAAAATATGTAATTATATAATAATTAATGAATTGTTGGCTATGTATACAACAAAAATACACTTCAACTGAAAAAAATTGTCGGAAAAAGCATAGATGGGTGAGAATGGGAACCATTATGCGATTGGAGTGGTGTTTGTGTTGTACTAAACTATTTAATAGATTTGATTTTAATATACAGTATATCTCTATGAGGCGTGTCTTCACAAATATAACTGTCGATTGCAATGCATTTTCGTATTACAAAACAAGAATTTATTATTTGAGAGTAAAAACGAAAATATAATTGAATTCAGAAAACAAAAAACATTAAAACAAGAATAGAGAGAGAAATGTAATGAAAAAACAAATATATTATAAGGTTTGGGTGTTAACTATTGCAACGACTTTTGGATTATAAAAAAATACATTTATATATTGATTGCCAAAAGTCATTATAGTATTAAATAAAAGAAAATTAAACACAAAATTCATTACTTTTCATAAACCAAATGTTTGCATTTCGCATGTAATTGTAATCACAAATATATATATATTTTTGGCAAATGTTGCCAAAAATTTGCGAAAAATAAATGAAAACTCAATTTATAATCTCATTTAAAATGCAATTATTTTTATATCGCAAGCAATAAGAGAGAAAAAAAATTAATTCAATTTCTACGGTGTATTCAATAGAAATTAAGTCAATATTTAGACCAAAACTGATGCAAACATTAATTTATTTCTCATATTTGGAGAGAAATATTATTTTTACATTTTTGTAATAACTCTTTGCGAGAAAAAAGTTAATTACGAAAAATGGTTATAATTTTCATTCGTTCGCCATATCATTGAAAAACTTATTTTTCTCTTTAAATTAATGTGAAATAAATTTAAAATTCAAAACCATTTTGAGCCACAAATGCTTTTGGGGCTCATTTCTAACGTGTTTTGCAGTCACTTCTGAATTCAATTATGAATTTATATTTTTCATTCAAATAATTGATATTTTAAACAATAAATTATTACCATTTGTTTGCGGATAAAAAATATTTGTTAAATGGGTTTTAAATGAATGCTTATTGTGTTGAATGACAAACACAAAAACAAAACTCAAACAACAAAATCAAATCAAATCCTAAACTAATAGCAATACTCAGCGCTTAACCAAACATTACTTGTAATTGAAATGTAATTGAGTTGTGAATAAAACACTACTAAATGGCGACAAAATGTACAGTTAATTGAGTTAAGCGACAAACAAATGACAAATCAATAGGCATTTGGTGGCCATTCATACGACTGTCACCTCCAATGACATGAATGGTGACAATGAGTGACACAATCAATGGTAGTATACGTACATAGGGTTGGATGAGTTCCAGTAGATGTCCGGCAGTCGGGCACTCGTACTGCCGTCGATCACCGCATTCATCACGAGGTACACAAACACCGTCCACACAGACATCACGTGTGCCAGTGGTGGTAGTGGTGGTCCTGTCCGGCAACACATCCTCATTGGTGCCACACTTGTGACCAACACTTCAGTCCATTGTTTGTGTCCAACGAAAGCATATTTGTGTTGTTTTCCAATCCAAACAACTGTTGATTATCTTTGCGCTAAGAGTTTGTCCAAAGAGTGCCAAAGCAAACAATACACACAATCAATGAACTCTTGAGTTAAGGGATTAGCTGTCAGTGGATGAGCGCACAGATGAGCGACCTATTCCTCGGGAGTAGTCTTCACGAGAGCACACATTCACGAAAACGTATGCAATGTTTGACTCATTTTGCCCTCTCTTTGGCTCTCATTTTACACATTCAGACAAATGTTCAGATATTTCACTCATCAGGACATATGTGTTGAGCGCACCATTCAGTGGTGACAATAGTGTGATCCAAACGTAACCACCGATGGTGTAGTGATATCCAGAAACGGCGATTGACAGCAAAATATTAATTATTATTTATAAACACAAACATTGAGTCCATGAATGCAATGAATGCTTGGGTTTGAGTGAAACACACAAAAGATTAGGCATTTATGCTATCAATGAATGCAAACGTAATGCAAAGCAAACCAATAGTAATGCTATTGACTATTGAGTGCAATGTAAGCACAGCTCTGTCTGCCTGTTCAGCACTACACATACACTGCACTCCCATTGGCTCACAGTTTGGCTGCCATTTCGCAACACTAATAAATGCATGCCATTCAGAGGCAGATTCACGTTTACTAACACTTAGTTTTGTGCCTTTTATAAGTAACAAACCCACCGTTATTAATGTACGCAAAAAGGCACATACTATTGGTTCACTTAACACATTCCTTTCCCACACACCAATCCATTGATAAGAATGTGTGAGCGATGGCAACGCCCTCTCTATGACAGCAATGCAATGAAATGAACAAAAGTGTCAAAACTTTTATCTCATTATTTATGCACAATGTGTAGCAGTGATACGCATGCGTGCTATGCATTGCTGTTTGACTGACCAATGGGAGTGCGCTATACAAGCGTTTTGAATACATTTCCCCAGTTTTACCGCCATTTATATAATAAGCGCTTAATATTACACACAAATGAATGAATCAATAATTATATCATTTTTATAATCAGTTTTAATGAAACAATTTATTATATCATGTTTTAATCGTGTAGTTAATCATTGCATACATTCAGCCAATCATTGATTTCAATTGTGGTAATCGTGGCCCGAAATAGTGAGCCATTTGAAGGTATGCCTGCACTATGAGTACGAATGCATTGTTTGCAGTGTTTGTGTGTTTTGGTGCGAAACGCGACAATCGATTCGTTCACTAATTGTTGTCTTGTTTTGCGTTTCCTTTCATTCCATTGGGATTGTCA